TTATTACTCGGATTATTACTTCTTGTATTATTTGTTTGGCTTTTCTCAAGACTTGACTGCGATTTGCAGCTATTTTTATACGAAAAGTTTGGTCGCCCTATAAGTAGGTCCATGTCTTTAGCCATCACTAGCACTCATATGTTGTGAATTTAATCTTGAGGTGAACTCAATGGTAAAGTGGTTTGGATTACCGGCGCCTCGAGTGGTATCGGCGAGGCTTTGGCCTATCTTTTGGCCTCACATGGAGTCAAACTCGTCATCTCCGGTACCAATGAATCCAGACTTCGAGAAGTGAAGGAACAATGTCTTCGTCAGTATTTTTTATTTTGATTTATTCACAAAATTGTGAACAAATTGTTTGTTATCTTAGTTTGCGGTCAATTAGAAGAGAACGACGTTTTGATATTGAGTTTTAATATCAAAGACTTTTCAGTCCATGAAAAACAATTCAATGCAGTTATTAAACACTTCCAAAGGGTATTCATATTATTGTGTAATTGTATGATCACTTTATTGATGTAATCTTCGGCCCAAAGCTCGACATTCTTGTGTCAAACGCTGGTCGCAGTCAAAGAGCTTCCTTCGAGACAATTGACATCGAAGTGGACAAAGAAATGTTTGACGTGAATGTCTTCGGACTCATAAATCTGACACGAATTGTATTGAGATATTTTCTCGACAATCACATGAAAGGACATTTTGCGGTCACTTCGAGTACTGCTGGAAAATTAGGTTACATTTAGTAAATGCCATAATTTTAATGCAAATACTTTAACACTGTTTTATATATGCATTCCTTCAGGTGTTCCCAACTCTGGCTCTTATACGGCATCCAAACACGCTCTACACGTGACTTAAAAACTCAATTTAATATATTTAACGAGATTTTAACATAATATGGTTTCCCATCTATTCATTAAAGGGTTACTACGAGTGTCTTCGAGTGGAGGCCCAGTCGAGAGGAATATCGATCACAATGCTATGTCCCGGACCCGTCTTCTCACGCGTTCTCGAGAACGCGATGTCAAACAAATTGGACTCAAGTCATGAAGTGGTCACTCATAGTAAAGATAATAAACGATTGGCCACTTCTCGATGCGCTCATCTCATGGCTACAGCCATTGCCAACACATTGGATG